TTCTGTTACCTGCTACTTGTTCTGTGCAAGTACCATCGGAGTAGATGAGTCCCTCTTCCTATCCTTGCAGTTTCAGAAAGTATACATTGTCATTAACAAGAGCATCCGCCCCGTTGTTGCTCGGACTGAGATGAATTGGTTGATGGCTTTAAGTTAACATCGACCATGTCTTCCTGTTTTGTTGAGGAAAGTGTCTCCATCCCGGGCAATGCCCCTGCTATCTTCCGGAATAACGGCTGACAGATTTTCCACGATTTGAACATATACAAGTTATGTGGATAAATCATGTCTTTAAGGCAAGTTATTGGGGCCATTGGGTTGTGTTTTTCTTTCTCACCTTGATGTTGAATCCTGCTTTTGCACTGGTCTCTATGAACATTACTCCGAACTCACGAGCTTTGTTATCCCCCTCCTCTATCGAGACTTGCCTGTTTCATAACCAATGCCCGCATCTAAGAGTATAGAAACATAACTTAAAATGGAGTAAACCCCATTGAAGACGCCATGTCCAGACCTTCTGTTGGTATATCAAGTTTAAAAGCTAGTTTTCAAAGTGGCAAAGATTTCTTCTTTTGTATGCCCAAGAAGCTCATCATGTAAATCCATCCATAGTATTACAGAAAAGCTCCATATTTTCCATGTCTACCAAGAATTTGAACAAGGATCTGTACTTGATATAGGTCAATTGGTCTTTACCTTTTCTCAACGAGATCAGTTTTGTTACCCACGAGAACAATGATAACGTCACCGCCTCTTTCTGTACGAACTTCCTCAATCCACCTCGTGGTGTTCAAAAACGATTGCCTATCTGCATTGTTAAGAAAATATGAGACCTTTATGTCGGTTCATTGGCAAAGGATAAGTCTGACAAATACTTGATGATCCCATGTCGATATACCAAAGAAAATACGTGACGGGAAAATTTCATAAGTTTAAGAGACGTTCTTACTTGCCACATCATAGACAATTACAGCAACAGAAGAATCCCTGATGTAACTTGGTATTAGACTTCGAAATCTCTCCTGCCCTGCAGTATCCCTGTGTTACAAATTAATCTTTATCGACCAATCTGACAATTACATAGACCTGTATCTATTTCTACGACGATGAACAATTAAAAAAAAAAAATCAGATAGTACACGTTCACTTTGAAATCACATGGTAGCCTGCAGGATCGACACTAAGAATCTCAATAGACCTAACTATAGCGAAATATTCCTTGAAACAATATCCTCATCTTCCACAGGCTTTATCCTATGAAGACATGAGTTTCTGCAATAATTTATATACAAGCATACATAGTATATAACATGCTTCACATAAAGCAGAAGAGTGTATACATATATATATATGAATGAGAGCATGAAGGGATGATTACCAGAGCTGCAGACGAACAGTCCGATCTTCAAGGTACATCGTTTTAGACAAAAAATCAATTCCGATGGTTGCCTTTACAAAGTGCCGTAGACGACAAGGTCAGTTCTTCAAATGGTAACAACTAACAAATGTCCGAAAACTTCAGATACATAGACACAGGAATCCTTAAAATTCAGAATGAACTTTCTTTCCTTGTCATGCTACTAATTTTCACAACACTGTACAGTAGAAAATCACTTGTAACTCTACCAAAGTTATAGGCATGCAACAAACATCTTTCTTCTCTGATTACACAGAAAAGGCCAGAGCTTTCTCCAACAGTTTATCCATCTTATCTACTCCGGTGGTCGTCAACGATCAAAACTACACAAAATTCACCTAATTCATTCGACATGCCGAATTCTCGATAGAATAACGATAATCATCAGCGAGACAAGGTCAAATGTCATCATGATTCACAATCGATTGAAATTTTGTATTCTTCACGAAATAAAGGAAAAATCAACACTAGAATATGGCAAAAATCAGAATCCCATCCGAATCTCCCGTTCAGAAAATCAAAACGAATGACGCGGAACAGATAAGGGCGTTCCGATCAACGGAAAAAGACCTACAAAACGGCGACGAAATTTGGAAAAAGGGAAATGAAAAGAGAGAGGGAAGATAGAGAAGAAAACGAACCTGGTAAGTGATGTCGAATTTGTCGTACATGAAACGAGTGATGATGCTAGTTTTGCCAACGGATTGATCGCCGAGGAAAACCAGCTTGTATTTGGCTAAAGGTGACACCGTCGCCATTTTCGTCGTGAACCTAAGGTTTAGACCTTAATCTGTGATTTCTCTATGGTTCAGAATTCAGAAAGAGAGAGGGGAGAATGGAATCGGACGGGAGAGAAGACGAGGTTTACAAGTTAGACGCGTTTACGCGGGGAAACCGCCAACCACGAGCAC